CGGGCTGGATTTCACTAACGTTCTGTTTCGCGGTGCAAAACGCAGTGCATGTCACGCATCACGCCTCAGACACGCAGAATACGGTCTGAGGGAGGAGGTGCCGGGTTTCACAGAACTGTGCGCCGATATGCTGATTCAGCAGCACAGCAATGAGCCCCTGGGGATCACGGGGGTGGGGGGCTCGGTTCGGTGGTGCCCCCAGCACCCTTCCCCAGCAGACGACCGTTGCTCTTCCTCCTTTCTGCTGCCAATTTCTGAACCACCCGCTGCGCCACAGTGACTCCTGCTTCCCGCGCTACGCACCAAAGTCTTTCTCCCTTACAGGCCGATCTTGTAACCGCGTAGGCCGTAGTACATTGAATTCGTGATACTTGTTCAATTACAGTAGATTGTTACCGGCAGCATGTAATATCCCACAAATTTTCAAGCCCTTATTGAGTCTATACTTCATTGCATACTGTTACAATAAGGAACTACAGTTCAACATGTGTTTTGTCACGGTCGGCCGAGTCCGTCTGGCCGACGTCGGCGACGGTGATGACGATGTGCTGCAGTCGGCGCCTGGCTATTGTGGTGAACGGCGTGCTAGGTGTGCACGCCGACGGAATCTCTATGTGTTTTATTATGTAGGTTCTAGGTGAACTTTGCGTGTGTGGGTGCCTAAGTTTGAGCTGGGCAGAAGAGTGTTGACGAAAGAAGGCCTCGCCCTCGCTTGGGCGAATCCGGCTTTGTTGACCGGCTTTCAAGGTGTACAGACGGCTAGGCTTCGTGGTCGGCGCCGACTTGGAGGAGCAAGTCGGCTTGGTTGACCAACCTTAGTGGAGCTGACTTCGGCGGTTAGCCGACCACTGCAAAGCCGACTTCAACGAACAGTTCAGCCGACTTCGTGGTCGACGCTGACTCAGTGGATCAAGTCGGCTTGGTTAGCCGACTTCAGGGAAGTCGACCACATCGGAGCCGACTTCGGCGAAGCCGGCCATGGCGTAGGCCGACGAAGTGAAGTCGGCGGTCAACGAAGCCGGCCATGGTGTTCGTCGACATAACGTCGGCTTGCGGGCGTCGATGGCCTCCTCTGGTCGACCGAATAACCTGGTCGACTGAGTGGAGGTGCGCGAACGTCGTCCATGTGGTTTTGGCGAAGCCGACCTACGTGGCAACATCACGTGAATACGAGGTAGACGTGGTGCATCTAGCGCAACCGTCGGCACGTGGCCAATTTGGCACCTGCGCAATGTGCGTGACAGTGCACGATGTGCTCAACCGTCTACCAGCACCTGCGAAGTGAGTGCGCGTGAGTGCGCTATAGTCGCCTGCGGTTGCAACGGTGGCAAGCCGCCTTGTTGCAGCGTTGGCAAGCCGCCCTATTGCAACACTGGCAGGCCGCCGACTTGCAGCGTTGGCAGGCCGCCTTTTAGCTGCATTGGCGCGCCGTCGCCTTGCGGTGCTGGCAAGCCGCCTTCGTGCTGCGCTGGAGGTCGACCTGCTTGCATGCTAGGATGCTAGGCCTTTGATGTTGTCAAACTTGCCATTGCCATTGCATCATTGTTCTCAACTTTTCTTGGTGAAACTCTTATTGTTTTGCCCCGTGAACACGCAAGTGCTAGAGAACACAAGGAACGTTACGACCACTCGTACCACCATGACCTCCCACGTAGTCCAGTCTACCCATTGTAGAGTGACTCTCCGCAATTTCTGCCGCCAGTTAACAAACTTCTCTGTTATTTCCCCCAGTGCCTTCTCCCACGTGTGCAGCCATCTACCGCCAGGAGTGACCCATACGCCCAGCAACCGTTCCGCGTTATGCGACTTAGCCTACTTAAAACTTCCCCTTGAGTTCCTTTCCCCGTTCACTCCGAGGGGAAGCACCACCAACTTTGCTTTGCTCGTTGCCAGCCCCGACATCTTCTCGAACTTGTCCAGGACTTTCTTGGCTTTGGCGATCTACTGTTGGCCTTGCAAGGCGAGTGTGGTGTCGTCTGCATAGCCCAGGAAAGCCAGCCGCTGCCCCGCTTTGCAGATACCCAGCTTCTTCCACTCCACCTCCTGTGCAAGCGGCTCCACTGCGCAGAGAAACAGGTAAGGCGCCAGTGGGCAGCCTTGCCGGACCCCTGAAGCAATCCCGATTCCTTCTCCCTGCCATCCGTTGACTAAGAGACGCATTGTCGTGTTGGTGTGCAGGCCCTCGACCCATGTCACGAAGCGCGTCCGACAGCCTCCTCCCGGGGATGAACCCGTGTTGTTCTGGTGAGATGACCAGGCGCAGTACTCTCTTGAGACGGTCCGCTACAACCCTCGCCAGTACTTTGTAGGAGAAGGTCAAAAGAGTGATGGGTCGGTAATTGTATAACTGTTCCTTCTCCCCTTCTTTGGATTCTTCTCCCCTTTCTCGTGCAGCAGTATCGTTACTGCTTCCTTAATGGCAGTAAGGAGAGCCGTGGTGGTGGTGAAATCCGTTACCAGTGTTATGAAACTTCCCCCCAAAAGGTCCCAGTGTGCCTCGCTCCTTCGGCAGACCGTCCATCCCCTGAGATTTATTTGCCGCCGTCGCAGTGAAGGCCGCTTTCACCTATGCTTCCGTCCAGTCCGCATCCAACCCCTCCGTGCTGCAGGGGCCAAGCCTTCTCCCTGGAGCCGGGTTCTAGTCCGCGAAACTCGTGCGGCGGTCCGTGCCGAAGATTTGCTTGAAGAACTCCGAAGCAGCTGCTAGAATGTGTTTCGAGTCCTTCACTGCTGTCCCGGCGACTTGGTGCTCCGTGATCTGAGTGCGGCTTTTCCGCACTTTCAGCTGACTTCTCATTTGGGCTCGCAAATTGCGCCTGTGGGAACAAAAGAAGCTTGTACACCTATACACAGGTAATTTCACATCCTTGGATCAAATTTCAAAGATACCCAAAACCATTTCCGGCTGAATGAGCCCGACCCCTAGAAGCTAGGGGTTAACAAAACATACCGGCATCTGACACATTGGCCACTCGCGCGGGTCAGTTGCTTTGTTGAGCGACCTCACCTCATATTAGGACTCCGCAACATACCCACTCTAGAATTGAGATAGTCCTACACAACCTTCGGTCCGAGAAAAACCACAAAATATTATCCCCCTAACGTGAAAATAGGGGGATTAAATTTACCAGTGGCTAGGTTTAGGGCGCGTCCCCTCCCTCGATCGATCGAGGCCACGGTCAATCGAGGGACTGCTACGGTGCAATTGTAGCATCGCAATTTACAGGGTAACATCATTTCGAGATGGCTTGCGAATGTACAGTAAATCGTGCCCAACGATCTTGTCACCTCCCCCCGATGACGATCGATGTGCATTCGTGCCCACACCGATCTGAGATTTTTTACGACCGATGGGTTTTTCCCCGCTGCACTCTCGATCCTGTCACCTTGGGCTCGAAATTGACCCGCGATCGCAGATATGCTGTCACCTCCTACCAACCTTGCCCCGATCCTGCGATCGGTGTGGCCGATCGGTTTTTGACGTTAATATCGCGATCGGTCGATGGAGGGGACGCGCCCTTAGTTCGTTGAATGTGGGAACTCGCGCGTTGACGACTCTGAGTTGCTGATTTCGCCAGTTCACCAATTCGCTGTAGGGTACGGCCTCATGAAGTTGTCGGCTGGTAACGCTGCCGAATATGGTCCTTAGCGCTTTGTGCGATTGTAACTGGGAGGGTTTCGCACGAACACTTTTATTTTTTTCGCGCTACTGGATATGGGGATTCTGTTGTCAGCGAAATGAGAAGGAGCGGAACAACCAGAGGGGTGTCGCCAATAACATGGCGTTCGGCTTCCGGAAAGGTAAAGGTAAAGGAGGGGGGAAATCCCCTTTTGGGTTACCCCCGGCTGTCGATCGTAATCCGCCTACCCACTTGTTTACACGCCTCGCTGGGTATCGAGGTTGTTGTATTCACTCCCAGATGAGCACCTGTGTAACCCCCTTCTGGGGGGCTGGCAGAACACGCCGCAGGGGGGATTTGATCCCGGGACCTCATCTTTCGGAAGTGAACCAGCTAACTAGCTGGGCCACTTCAGGATCAGTTTCTGGAAAGGATATTTCTTTCGTTATCTTTCATCTATTCTTTCGTTCTCGATCACTGTTATTTTTCCTACATACAATTGATGCCCAACCAGTGCACGCGGATTTGCCTTGCGCCGGATGGAAACGCTGCACCCGAGGTTGTTTCCCCAGCCTGTTGCTCCCACGTTATAAGCGCGTCGCGTGGTTATCAACCAATAGTAACGAACAGACCGAGGTCAAGCAGAAGAGACTGAAGTCAAATAAGGTAACAGATCTTGTTTATAAGCACCTGCGAATCCTTTTTAGCTAGCTGCGAATTGACGAAACTTATGCGAAATGCTCGTTACAGCTTATACGCCCCCTTCACAAGGCAACCGGGAGGGGCTCAAACAGGCATCAATTGTACCTATCCAGTCTCTGATAGATTGCCGATTTCATGGATAGGGGAAACCAGCAGACATCGGCATCAGTCGGTAGTTTCCACAGACACAGACACGGAACTGATAACTAAGATACTGCTTTCACGCGGAACTAGTTCGTAGAACGCAGATTCAATGCGAATGCGCTTCGAATGTTTTATCTGCCAGATTCGTTTCAGTGGGTAGTTCGAGAAGCTACGTTACGCTGCCATGGATCGCAAATACGGGAGAAAATAAGTTCCACTGGAGAAGTATTTCAGTACTTGCTGCTTGGAGAACGAGGAACCGTCCCCCCATCTCCAAATCCTGTCCACCCATCCTGGCGCCCCTCCTCTTCCCTCCTTCTTTCCCTTCCCCTCCCTCCGCCGCGATTGTATAAATCTCGCAATTTCTCCGTTGACTATGACGACGTGCGACGATGACGACGACGTGCGACGACGACGATGACGTGCGAGCGGCATTTCGCGATGGCGACAGCGACCAACTTGAAGTTTCTGAAGCCAACAAGTTAATGTCCAAACTGATTCTTTTACGCGCATGTCCGTTCCCCTTAGCCTTCAATGCGCTCCTCAGCAATCTACGCGCAGGTTCGTTCCCCTTTTCCTCGCGTCTCAATAATCTACGCGCAGGTTCATTCCCCTTTTCTTCTTGTGTGCGCCTGTGATCTGCGCCCGAGTCTGTTCCCCTTATCCTCCATGTCACACCCCTAACGTAACGACGTGGCAGCCGCACAACTCACGGAAAACCGACAACAGAACGGTATCGACTTGGCAGCAGCACAGAATATCGCCATCAGGTCTGTCCCTCTCATTCCCCTACCACTCCCCCGTCTCTTCCCCCCCTCCCTTCCCCCCTTCTCACTGATCCTTCTCCCATTTCCCCTCCCATCAACCTTCTCATTCCTCCCTCTCATTCCCTCATCTCTTTCCCTTTCACATCCCATTCGAACATCCCGTTTCCTCCTCCGATTTCTCCCTCCCATCCACCCTCCCTTTCGCCCTCTCACTCCCCCTCTCATTTCCCTTCCGATTCCCCCTCTAATTCTCCCTTCTCATTCCCTCCTCTCGTTCCCTCTCTCATTCCCCCTCTCATTCCCCCTCTCGTTCCCTCTCTCATTCCCCCTATCATGGCCCCTCTCATTCCCCCTCTCATTCCCCCTCTCATTCCCCCTCTCATTCCCCCTCTCATGCCCCTCCCCTCCGCTAATCCCCGCAGGAGGTAACTACGCGGCAGCAGCACAGCTCACAGTAAATCGACATCAGCAGGGTATCGACTTGGCACCAGCAAAGTGTTTCAACATCAGGTCTGTCCTTCTCATTTGCCTCCCAATCCCCCCTCACCCCGCTTTCATTCTCCCCACACATCTCCCCTCCCATTCTTTCGCTTTCCCCTCCCATTCCCCCACTCATTCCCTCTCCCATCCCCCTCCCATTCCCCCACTCATTCCCTCTCCCATCCCCCTCTCATTCCCCTTCTTATTCCCACTTCTCATTCCCGCTTTCCCCTCCCATTCCCCTTCTCATTCCGCCTCTTATTCGCCCTCCTATTTCCCCCCTCTCATTCCCCACTCCCATTCCCCTCTCCCATTCCCCCCTCCGATTCCCCACTCCCATTGCCCCTCTCATTCCCCACTCCCATTTCCCCTCTCATTCCCCACTCCCATTCCCCTCACCCATTTCCCCTTCCATTTCCTCCACCCTGCTATGGTCCACCCATGATGCTATTTAGTTACTGACACTCAGAGGAGGAATTTCGAGGCGCCTCAAAATCACCCATGATGCTATTGAGTAACGGACACTCAGAAGGGAGCAGCGCGGCGAAGCAGCGTGAGCAGCGCACATGGCATGAGAGCAGCGCACATGGCATGAGAGAGAGCGCACATGGCATGAGAGAGAGCGCACATGGCATGGGAGCAGCGCACATGGCATGGGAGCAGCGCACATGGCATGGGAGAGAGCGCACATGGCATGAGAGAGAGCGCACATGGCATGGGAGAGAGCGCACATGGCATGGGAGAGAGCGCACATGGCATGAGAGAGAGCGCACATGGCATGGGAGCAGCGCACATGGCATGGGAGCAGCGCACATGGCATGGGAGCAGCGCACATGGCATGGGAGCAGCGCACATGGCATGGGAGCAGCGCACATGGCATGGGAGCAGCGGACATGGCATGGGAGCAGCGCACATGGCATGGGAGCAGCGCACATGGCATGGGAGCAGCGCACATGGCATGGGAGCAGCGCACATGGCATGGGAGCAGCGCACATGGCATGGGAGCAGCGCACATGGCATGGGAGCAGCGCACATGGCATGGGAGCAGCGCACATGGCATGGGAGCAGCGCACATGGCATGGGAGCAGCGCACATGGCATGGGAGCAGCGCACATGGCATGGGAGCAGCGCACATGGCATGGGAGCAGCGCACATGGCATGGGAGCAGCGCACATGGCATGGGAGCAGCGCACATGGCATAGGAAAAGCGCACATGACATGGGAGCAGCGCACATGGCATGGGAGCAGCGCACATGGCATGGGAGCAGCGCACATGGCATGGGAGCAGCGCACATGGCATGGGAGCAGCGCACATGGCATGGGAGCAGCACATGGCATGGGAGCAGCGCACATGGCATGGGAGCAGCACATGGCATGATAGCAGCGCACATGGCATGAGAGCAGTGCATTACCCCTTTCCATCCCTCCCTCTTGTTCCCCCCTCCCACTTCCCCCCTCCACTCTCCCCTCCCATTTCCCTGTTCCATTTCCCCCTCCGGGTCCCCACTCCCGTTCCCCCCGTTTCCCCTGCTCTCGTTTTCATAAGCCTCCCTCCCTCCTCTGCCCAAACTATAAGCCTTTCCGCTGCCTCACCCCTTCCTCAAAAGTGCCTTGCATCCATTTTGGGGTGCTTGTGTTGCATGCCCACTCAGTGCATATTAAATTCCCTGTTTCTTGTACTCTTCATCCCGTGTGCTTCTGTTTGGCACTTGTACCAGGGCTGAATGTTCCATAATAAACAATTGCATTCACTGAGTGATCCCATATATACAGAGATTCAAATGCACCTGCACTCACTCCCTGCTGTACTGTGAACCATTCATACAGCTACCTCTCTTCCCAATCACCCAAATCAAGTTTCACAAAACCACCACCACCACCCTACCACTCTAAAACGGAGTGGACCCAATGATATTCCCCTGCGGCGAGTAATCACACACCCACATGCCACCCCCATCAGGGCACTGCGCCGACGCACACCCCACGGGTCGTCCCACCCCACTCCACCGCTCTAGAACGGAGTGGACCCAATGATGTTCCCCTGGGGCGAGTAATCACACACCCACATGCCACCTCCATCAGGGCATTGCACCGACGCACACCCCACATGGGTCGTCCCCGCCCACACCACCTGCGTGTAATGCCCGCACATCCGCCCCTCCGCACACCCCTCGGGCACGGGGCTAGGAGTCCAATCCGCCTTCTCATCCACCCACGCCTGCACCGCCATGCGATCCTCCTCGGGGGTCAGCGCTGCCGGCGCGCGCCAGTACAGGTTCTGCCCGAGCCCCTCCGCGCCGCCGTGCTGCAGCGGGCAACCCGCGGACGCCAGCTGGTCCGCCCACTCCTGCGCTGCTGCTGCCGCGCCGTCGTCCCATGCCAGGTCCGCCACCCCCACCTCCCGCCGCGCTGCGTTGTGCACCTCCAGGATCGCGTCAATGTCGATCGGACCTCCTCCTCCTCCTCCGCCGCCGCTGGCGTTCTCGCTGCCGTTGTCAATGCCGTTGCCGCCGCCGTTGTTATCACCATCGCAATCGCCGCCCTCAGCTTGTGCACCCAGCCGCTCATTCCCATAGCTCACACCACGGTCCGCGCTTTGCACCCCGCTCCTGTGAATGGCCACATCGCTGCTCGTCGCCATGCGAAAGTGCTGTGCCTTGTGCAACCCAGTGCGCTGATTGTCCTCAAGCTCCCAGCCATTGTTTTTGTTGAGGCGAGACACGCGGGAGGGTGCGCCCTTGGCGGTGCCCTGAGTCCGACTCCTGGGCAGGATCACATCGCTGCTCGTCGCCATGCGAAACTGCTGTGCCTTATCCAGCCCAGTGCGCTGATTGCTGCGAGGCTCCCAGCTACGGTTGTTGCTGAAGCGAGACGCGCGGGATGATGCCCAGAGCGACCTTGCTTTCCGCGACCTTGCACGGCGCGCCCTTGCCTTCCGCAACCTTGCCCAGAGCGCCTTTGCCTTCCGCTACCTTGCCCGGAGTGCCCTTGCCTTCCGCGACCTTCCCCGGTGAAGGAATATATTAGAGAGCGTAGCGATAGCGAGAGAGTCTCTGCTATGGGAATGATGTTGCGCCAGCAACTTGGTAGAGTTTTGGTAGCGTTTGCCTCTAAGGACTTTGTGAGAATTGAAGTAGCATTTGGGCCAAGTAGAATTGCAATATCAATTATCAAACACACAAGCAAACACAAACATATATAGGCAAGCAAGAGTTGCACAATTGTTGCGTGGCGCTGCGAGTAACCCAACCCACACGAAAGTGCTGTGCAGGTGGGTGAACGCGCCCCGCACATTTCCAACCCAACTCGGCACCGGAATGTCTCACCGTGCACGCTACTCCTGCCAACACAGCAAGTGAGCAGCGTGCCTCACAAGCAAGGCACCTACGACCCCCAAGACTCGTCATTCCTAGCACCGATTCCGCCGAGTTCGCTGCAGTAGCTCACAGTCACCCGTAGTCACTAATGACCGCCACCGAACTCGTGCGTCGGTGCCGAGTAGACTCAGTCGTTAGGCGCCGACCTGCCAAGTCAAAGGTCATCGAGGGCCCCTGCTGTCGTAGGGCCCTCTAACACCCGGCGCGCCCTTGCCTTCCGCGGCCTTGACTGGCGCGCCCTTGCCTTCCGCGACCTTGACCGGCGCGCCCTTGCCTGCTGCGCCCTTGTTCGCCGCGCCCTTACCCGCTGCGGTAGCTCCCGCTCCGCCCTTCCCTGCAGCGCCCTTGCCCGTTGCGCCCTTGCCTGCTGCGCCCTTTTCCACCGCGCCCTTGCCCGCAGCGCCCGCGACCAGACCCTTCAAGGGTGCGTCTTTCTCTGCCGCGCCAATATCGTCAACGTGATGAGCAGGAGCACGCGGAGGGAGAGTTGAGGCGGAATTCTCTTCAGTGTTTGAAACACTTGACGTGTTGTTGAAACCCGCGGTCGACCCGCTTGATCCGGAATCATTACTTGCAGCTGCGACGACCTTCGGAGTGAGAAGAAACAAGGAATGAATGAACTATGAATGAATTGGGTACAAGTACTAACCCTAATTGGGTTGTACCCCTTATGGGCTACCCCACTATAGCCTACGCAATATGCATGAGCTATAATATTCTGACACACCCCCATAGGCAAAGTGGGGGAGAACAAGGGGTCACAAGACCAGTCAAGCAAAGTAAAGCAAAGCAAGCTCAGGGTGGATCACAAAGTCACCACACATTCCGAGCACAAGTTCAAGGCCACAAGGCCAGTTCACATGCAGGAGTACATATATATATATAAAGGCTAGACAAGCAAGAGTAGGTATATATATATGTAACAGCACAAGCAAGGTCAAGAGGTGAGCAAGTGAGGCAAGGTAGGCACAAGGCCCAGCTGAGTACAGAAGCGCTGATGGTCACAAGGCGCAAGCGCCTTGGTGAAGATATCAGCAGTGTTGGCCTCAGAGGCCACGTACGCAAGACGCAGCTGACCACGCTGCTGCAGCTCACGAGCAAGAAAGTAGCGGAGAGCAATGTGCTTCGTTCTGTGCTCCAGTCGCTGCTCCCGACACAAGGCCAGCATGGCCTTGTTGTCTACGTACAGCACTGGAGGAGAACGAGGCAGCTCTCCGAGGTCAGTCAGCAGGTAGGTGAGCCAGCGAAGCTCCTGTGCAGCCATGGCTCCTGCGTAGATCTCAGCCTCACAACTGGAGCCGAGAACAGAAGACGAGCGGGTAGCCCGCCACGAAACAGAGCCGGAACCAAGGCTGAAGGTGTAACCCTGTGACGACCGCTGCGTAGCCTGGTCGTCAGCCCAAGAAGCGTCTGCGTGCCCAGTAAGGACCACTGGACTCTGCCCTCCAAGCACAAGCCCCATGCCCGACGTACTGCACAAGTAGCGCAACACCCTCTTCGCTGCAGCCATGTGCTCCGGTCTGTGTCTCCCAGGAGCAACATAGCGTGCAAGAATGCTAAGAGGGTATGCAAGGTCAGGTCGTGTGCAGGTCATCAGGTACATGAGGCAGCCAACAAGCTCTGGGTACGGGCCACTCGACTCTACGGACTCATCCGAAGGCAGAGCTGAGAGCGAGTGTCGAGTAGGCAGAGGAGTGGCCAGAGGCGAGGAGTACGTGAAGCCGAAGCGCTGAAGGACCTGCTGCACCATGTGTGACTGAGTCAGGGTAATGGTGCGGCGTGCTCTGTCCCGAGTGATCTGCAAGCCAAGGTAGCTGCGCAGTTCACCCAGGTCAGTGCACGTGTGTCTCTTCTGCAGCTCGGACTTCACGTGGGCTAGTCCAGCAGTGTCAGCTGTGGCAAAGACCAAGTCGTCGACGTACACGAGGATGTAGAACGGCGGCAAAGAAGTGTCGGTGCGCAGAAACAGCGACGGGTCGGCAGTAGAGGGAGCAAACCCAAGAGCCGCAAGTGTAGTCCTCAGTGTGTCGTGCCACTCACGCGGTGCCTGGCGGAGACCGTAGACTGGCCGCCGTAGGCTCCACTGGGTGCCAGGAGGAAAAGACCCAGTGAAGCCAGGTGGGCGACACAGCCAGATCTCCTCGTGCAGGCTGCCCTGCAAGAAAGCAGTGCTGAAGTCAAGAGAGTGTAGCTCGTAGTCACGGTGAGCAGCTACGTGCAGCAGTACCCGAAGAGTGGTCATCTTCGGGGTGGGAGAGAAGGTCTGAAAGTAGTCAACTCCCTGCCGCTGACTGAAGCCACGAGCCACGTAACGCGCCTTGAAGACAGGCGGAGAACCCGGCAGTCGCTTCACCCTGAAAATCCACATGCCACTGACGATGTTCGCCCCAGGAGGGGGAACAGCGTCAACGTAGGTGCCTGTGGACTTCCAGGAAGCCATCTCTGCGTCCATAGCTGCCTGCCACTGAGAGGAGTAGGGACCCTCTATCGCCTCCGCGTAAGAGCGCGGAGTCGGGATGTCAAGTGCATCCGGGTCTCCCTCAGGGGTAAGCAGTACGGACACGAGATGAGGTGAAGCAGCGGCCAAGCACTGGAACTCCTCCTGCCTGTCCTCAAGGACGTCCGTGCCAAGGGCACACTTACCCCCGACGGACGGAGGACAGACAGACTCAGACTCAGCAACAAGACTGGCGACGTAGTCTAGGCGACAGCGAGCAGCAAAGTCGACGAGCTCAGCAACTAGGGCAGACGCAGCAGTGGACTCAAAGGAAGGGTCAGTGACAACAGTAGCAAGGAGACGCGCGACAGTAGGACTGGCAGCACGAAGAGAGTCCGACTCCGGGTCGGCAAGAGCAGGAAGAGAAGACTCAGGAGGAGAAGGCAAAGGGGCACGCAGAGGAGCAGTGGACGGACGCAGAGACATCCGGTGCGTGCCAGGGACAGGAGGAGGACGCTGACGCGAACCGCGACCACTAGTGCGAGCAGCACGGACAGGCGACGCAGGGCGAGACGCAGGCTCACGACGCTCAGCAAGACCTCCAGTAGGACCAGTGTAGGGAGACGGAGCAGGCAGTGGGGAGGCCGGCTGTAACTGTAACTGCGACGGGACAGGCTGTGGACACTCTAAGGGAGGAGGAGGACCAGTAGAAGGCGGGAGACCAAGAACCTGCTGAAGGAGCGGAACGAAGTACGGCCGAGGCCGCGCGGCGACTCCAGACACAGGAGGGACAGCACCAGCACCCCCAGTGGCAGCACCAGCACCAGTAGCAGCTCCAGCTCCAGAACCCCCAGCAGCACCAGTAGTACCCCCAGCAGGACCGCCTCCAGGACCGACAGCAGTAGCCTCCGCGCCAACACCCGCAGCAACTCCAGCTCCAGAAGTACCCGCAGGTCCAGCAGCTCCAGTACTCCCAGTACGAGCACCTCCGGGACCCGTGGCACCAGCTCTCTCAGCAGCAACAGAACCTCCAGTACCCGCAGCACCTCCAGCTCCAGTAGCTCGCCTCCAGCGCCGGGCAAACCACTCACGCAGCTCCTGGGGAGAGAGTGGCTCCCGGCGAGAAGGAGCACCCGGAGAACCGCCAGGCACAGCACCACCAGGCGTAGCACCCCCAGGCTCAGCACCTCCAGGCGTAGTACCCCCAGGCTCAGCACCCCCAGACGCAGCACCCCCAGGCTCAGCACCTCCAGGCGTAGCACCCCCAGGCTCAGCACCCCCAGACGCAGCACCCCCAGGCTCAGCACCCCCAGTCGTAGTACCCACACGCTCAGCACCCCCAGAGTCAGCACCCCCAGGCTCAGCACCCTCAGCAGCACCAGAGTCACCAGCGACCTCGACAGGCTCAACAGCGTCTACCTGGGACACACCTGAAGGGGCAGGACCCTGAGGGGGGAGGGGGTCTACCGGGGGGGGACCTGGTACAAGGAAGAGCGGTGGCGGGGGGAGGGACGGAGTGCGGTAGGGGAAGAGGCGGTAGTAGGGGACCGACTCGTCGAACGTGACGTCCTGGGAGGACAGAACACGGCGAGAGGTGGGGTGGTAGAACTGCCACCCTGGGGCGTCAGGGGGGAAACCCAGGAAGACGCAAGGAGCAGCACGAGGGGACAGCTTGTCCGCAGACAAGTCGCGGACAAACGCCCGAGATCCCCAGTCACGGAACGCAGACGCATCGCCAACCTTCCCCGTCCACAGCAAGGCTGGGGAGGTCTCCGGCATGGAGACCCTGGGCTGAAGGTTGATCTGATGCGCCGCGTACCGAACCGCAAACGGCCACAGAAAATGGGGGGCAGCCGCATGCATCATGGACGTACGGGCGACGTCCATGACCATGCCAATGCGGCGCTCAGCAATCCCATTTTGCTGTGGAGAGTC